CGCTTGTATTGCTTCTATTTGCAGGTAAAACGGCGAGCAACAGTTATCCTAGCAAGAGCAATCCCTCTCCAGTTCCCTCAGCCATATCAAACCTAACCATTCTCTTAAACCGTTCGCTCACCCAGCCTTATATGTTGCGTCCGTTCTTGATGTCGCTTCATCGGTATACTCCGTCGATGGGTCCTGAACTACATACGGCCTGATTCTTGTGAAACCAGGGATATGTAGGGAGATCAGAAGCCAGGGTGCGGCCTAAATCTTCCCAAACCATTTCGTTCGGTCAAAATTGGCCATCATTTCTTTACCCGAAAACTCTTTCATCCTTCCCGGGTAAAGAGGGGCAGCTGTTGATACCTAATTTTTCCCTATATATTATTAAATATGCAAAATACTTTCAAAATAGCATATATATGCATATATAAGCATGCCCAAGTTTTTTATTATTTTCCCCATAATTTTAAGGTTTTAAATTGATTTATTTTCTCCCTTTTTANTCATTTCAATGTGGTCTGAATTAACCTATTGTAAACGAGTATTGGGTTGGCTAGTGGAAAGGGATGGGGTAAATATGCATGCTATAGTTGTTGAGGGTATAAAACAGGTTATTAGGGTTATATTCCTAATTGTGCAATAGAAACCATGTTTAAAGTTCATACATGCATTAGAAATCATGCTCTTAGGACCCATGTTTTCTTGCTTCAGCATCTCATCCATCACTAATCCATGTTTTATGTCTATCACTTAGAAATCCTGCTCCTAGGACAATAACAACATTGGCATAAAATCTGTTAGTCTCGTACTTTCAGAAGTCACATTTCAATAATTCTGCAACTCTTGTGCGCATTTAGAAATCATGCCTTAGGGATTCTCATTTTTTTTAAACAATCCTGCCATATGCATGTGCATATTAGATATCATGTTCTAGGATCTTGTTTGCACTTTGTTTAAGACGCCTAGTTAATTACTTATTCATGAAAAGGTAAATAAAAAAAATAATCTCACATTGTGGTGTTTTTCTGAATAAAGCTGGTAATAATCTTTGCATTCGTATCAACTAGAACAGCATGCTCTTAGGGTAAAATAATTTTCACACTGTTTTGATAATTCTGAATAACTGCTGCACATTGTTTTACGCCTAGGTAGGCCTTAGGTAATCAACTTTAAATAAAACCAGAATTATCTCTATGATTAGTGTCTAATTATCAACTGTTAAAATCAGTAGGCAAGCCTGATTCGGACTTCTTTTCTGAGTCATGCGATAAATCTGGTTCTATTGTTATCACTTAAATACCTTGTTAGGATCTGAATGTGGACCTTACCTGTGTATGAGTCGTGCTGTCTGTTATAGGATCTGAAGTGGTTCTATTGTTATCACTTAAATACCTTTTATAGGATATGAGTCCTAAATTCCTCCGGGACTGATAGGAAGGGATGGGTAACAGCATGCAATAGGGGTCGAGACCAACCTTCGCTTTAATTACCTTCACGGAGCGGGAAAGGGTAGATATGGATATGATGACCGGTGCGCTAATGCCACGCGTAGCCCCTTTCTAAGGAGTGACTACCGGGCATTGTACTGATGTGATCCTATAGGCTAACCAACTTAGGACACCCCTTTATATTCACAAACACGCTTAGATTGTACTTCTTTCAAAATCTTGTCTTTTTTCATTAACTGTTTTTCTTCAAACAATCTGTGTGTTTAAACTTAAATCCCCTACTATTTGAGCCATACTTGTTTATTTGCTAATTAAATAAATTCACAAAAAAATTATCTGGCCGGGAACCACACTAGTGGATCCTGTGGGGTGCCTAACACCTTCCCCTTAGGATAATTTCAAGCCCTTACCCTATCTCTGGTTACCAAACGTAGTTATAGATGAACCTTATAGGTGCCCTAACGCACCTTAAATCGGTAGGTGGCGACTCTTCAAAAATGCAAACCCCTTTCCCAAAAGGAACGAGTTGTCTCAACCAAAATGTCACGAACCCGATTTCGCGAAAAAAAGGAGGGCGCGACAGCATGGCGACTATGCTGGGGATATTTAGGCTTTTACCATTTCATACCGTTTTTGTGAATTTGTACCCTCCTTATGTGCAATTATTTGTTTGATTCCTTTAAGCGTTTAATTTCTTCTTCAAAAGCAAAACTGACGTATCCTTCTTGTTTCCTTCCTTTACCGCTGCTTTAATTTATAAAACTGCTGTATTTATCGCTTTCTTAACGTGCAAATACATGTCAACATGCTTTTAATTATTCCATAATCATGCTCAACATCATACTCCACTCGCGCCAAACAAATACTATAGCAACGCTTGATGAGTGGTTGCGCCCTTCCTATATCATGAACCTCCTAAATTCGGAAAGGCTTATTTGCGATAAAACTAGTCGATCAGCGGTGCAGTCGACAGTTCCGTGCCTTCCCCCTTGAGTTGTCCGCTCAAGGGTACCAGTCTAAAACCCCATAGAAACCTTATTCTGTTTAAATGGTTGCATGCATCATGGTCAAACCTAGCCAGGTCAGTTATGTTGTCCACATAATGATCCTTTAAGATAGCCTTGTCCAAAAGTCCACTGGATTTCCCTAAACCCAAACGGACATCATCACATTCTGTGCATTAATTTGGAGAACCAAATGCCGATATGCTGATCATAAATGTATAAATAGTCGAGTCTGGTGGGGGTGAGGTCTAACCTTTTGTCTTGCAGAAAATGAGGCACTAGGTCCCTAGCTTCGGAATAGTTAACATACCCCTACTCTTGCTAGACTGGTGGAAGAATCTTCCATCGGATGATCATATCAATGAATGGAAAGAAAGGGCCGTCAAGGCTAGCGAAAAGCTAGATTATCTGGAATACAGCCTGTTAGAATTGGAAGGAAAAGTGAGGAAAAGAGTCAACGACTGCCAGAGCGCTGAGGGAAACGAAGAAGGACATCTGGCAAAGGCGTTCTTACTAATGATCCTACGCGAGCTGGAGGATTTGATCAACGAAAACATTCAACATGAGGAAGGCCCTCCTGAGACCAAACAGATTTAGGCTTACCTGCTTTCTAAATGTAATAAGGCCAAGTGCCAATAGTAACTCATTTTTATCATTATTTCAGTATCGTTTTGGGATTCGTCTGTTTTTAAGTTAAGAAATGAAGCATTTATTGGCATCAAAAGTTCTCCAAGTCTATTTGTCGCTAGGCCTACCTCGGGCACAAAGAGGTTCCCAAATTAGGACACGCTTTACATTCTCGCACTATGTGTTTAAATATTGCAAATGCTTTTTGTAATCCTCACTGACTTGATTACCTTTTGTTTTATTATTTCTTTCTTTTTATTATTCCCCTCCCCAAAGGCTAGTTCGTGCACTCTGGCATCATCATCTTATTTCACAAGATCCAAGGGCCCTCCACCCACTCCTCCTCTTAGTCCGCTAAAGGCAAGAACAAAGGCAAAATGGAATATTTAAACAACATCAAGAAGGAGAACACAGCTGAACGGGTAGAGACTACCGATGGCCAGGGTATTCGGGTTCCTAACGAGAATGCGTCACAGCTTGAACAGAAATTGTTGAAATTCCATGAAGAGCTCGATCAGGTTCGAAATCTGGCAAACCTGTCATTTTCCCTCAACACCCCAGACATCAACTTCCCCAATACTCAAAACCCTACACCTCCTCAAAATATCCCAAAACAACAGAATTATCCCGCACCTCACCATCATGCTGCTCCACCAAAGAACCAATGTAACACCTACCTCACCCCAAACAACACTCCGCTACTCATCCCAGAACCTCAGAACTCCAAAAAAGACCATTTCCACACCCATACACCAGGCCACCATAACAATCCTATCTACGTGGAGACCATGCCACACTCCACCCAACCCATCTCATACACACCTGAGTCTGATGAAAAGAATCTGCTTATCAGAAACTTGGCCGAGGAACTTAAGAAACTGACCAGCCGGATTCAGGGCGTCGAGGAAGCAAAGGAATCGAGGGGCTGAACTATGAGGACCTTTGCATAAAGCCTGATGTCGAACTGCTTGAGGGGTACAAACCTCCTAAGTTCGAAATGTTTTATGGCACGGGTGATCCAAAGGTCCATCTGAGGACCTATTGCGACAAGCTGGTTGGAGTAGGAAAGGATGAAAGGATCCGCATGAAGCTGTTCATCAGGAGTTTGAAAGGAGATGCATTGTCTTAGTACATCAGCCAAGATCCCAAGAAGTGGTCAAGCTGGGTGAGCATGTCATCTGACTTTATGGACAGATTCAGATTTAATACAGAGAACGCACCAAACGTGTTCTATATTCAAAATTTGAAGAAGAAGCCCACGGAGACATTTCGCGAGTATGCTACTCGCTGGAGGTCCGAAGCTTCTAAGGTCAGACCCGCCTTAGAAGAGGAGCAAATGAACAAGTTCTTTGTCCGAGCTCAGGACCCGCAGTACTATGAATGGCTGATGATGATTGAGAACCACAAGTTCTCCGACATTATCAAATTAGGTGAAAGAATTGAAGAAGGTTTGTGCCCTTCTTCCAGACGAATCATGTGCATGCAGAAGGCCGGGCTGATACCCTTTATGTCTGCCATGGTCCAACCAATGGTAGTTTTGCATTCCTACAACACCTGCAATAATTGTTCTACCTGCACAGCTAACAAACTAGATGATATAATAACAGGCAAAGTAGAATTGGGACCCAAGAAACCATACCTGAGGTGGGCTGGAAGTGGTTTCAGCTCTGTGGTGGTTCCTCTATTGATGGTTTTGCAGGTGGTGTAGTCCTCTTTTCTAACTCAAGGGGCTCGAACTCAGGCCCCCTCTTCCAGAGTCCTTGGCCTTCAAGTGCTATGACCCACTCTGCCAATCCTTCACCATCCATCTCCTCTAAATTTGTCAAGCAAGCTCCCAATGAATCTTTGGCGTTCAGGGTCTCATCGTCTTCATACATGATCACATCCACAGCTTCCACTAGTGAGCAATTTGCAGATTCACTGGGTCTCCTCATGGATTGTTGAATATCACCTCTTCATCGTTCAGCCTCATTTTCAATTCCCCAGTTTCACAATCAATTAATGCTCTCCCAGTGGCTAAGAATGGCCTCCCCAAAATGATGGGTATCTCCTTATCTACCTGGTAATCCAGAATAACAAAGTCTGCAGGGAATACAAACTTTCCCACTTTTACCAGCACATCATCAAGAATCCCTGTCGGTCTTTTAACCGTGCAGTCAACTAGTTGCAACAGCATCGAAGTCGGTCTAGCTCTGCCAATGCCCAGTCTTGTATATATCTCCAAAGGCATCAAGTTTATGCTGGCTCCTAAGTCACACAATGCTTTTGCAAAAGCATAACTCCCAATAGTACACGGAATAGTGAAGCTACCTGGATCGGACATCTTTTGAGCCATGGGTCGTGTCACTACTGCGCTGCATGTCTGTGTCAGAGTTACTGTGGACAGGTCCTGAAAGTCAAATTTCCGTGACATCAGATCTTTCATCATCTTTGCTTAGCCTGGCATTTCCCTCAAAGCATCCATCAGAGGGATATTCAGTTGAATCCGACGAAGCATTTCCATGAATTTTGAATCTGACGAAGCATTTCCATGAAGTTCCTGTATTGGTCTTCTTTCTTTTGTTTGGCCAGGCTCCGAGGGATTGGCGCAGTCATCACTCTTTGTTCACTGCTTGTTGGCTGTTCTTTGTTGGAATTTTGTGGCACAAGAGGTACCACCTGTTCTGCAACTTGTTCACTTTCTTTAGCTTTACCCTTATCAACCAGAGCCTGTTCAACCACCACTTCAGTGAGTTCTATTGATTCATCTATCTCTACTGGAACTGGAGTGGTTGGTGTAGCCTCTCTTCTGGATTGAGCAACTTCTTGCTCCTTGTCTAAATCTCTCCCATTCTGGAGACTTACTGCCATTAGCTGATCCGGGTTATGCTCATTGGGGCTAATGTTCGTGTCGGCTGGCAATGTTCCCTGGGGGAGGTTATTCAAGGCCATGGACAGCTGCCCCAGTTGAGTTTCAATACCCTTAATTGCTGAGTCATGCGCTATCAACTTTTCCTGCATCTTACCATTTGTTCCAATGAGTTGTTGCAGCATACCCCTGATATCTACCATATTGCTGTCTTGTTGCTATTGAGGTTGCTGATATGTCAACTGCTGTTGGTGCTACTGTCGATAGCCCTGTTGTCTCTGATATGGCACCATTTGGCCTTGGGGCCGCATGCCTCCCGGTTGTGGCATGTTTGGTCTGTACTGTTGGTTAGGTGCTGGTGCCCATTGTTGTCCTCCTTGCCTCCGACACCCAAAATTGTTTACATAATTCATGTCCTTTCTTAACCCTTGGTTGTCACCTTCTCCATTCCATGAACACACATAATATTGATAAATGCAATGTGTACACAACCCTCCATTTGTTGTGTCAACTATATGCACTTGCTTTGTACCCATCTCATCAATCTTCTTTGTTAATATACTCATCTGAGTCATGAGTGTGGCTATGTTCTCTGCATGTGAATTATTTGGGTCAAGAGGAACTGAATGCACTATTGGTGACAGGGTCGTACCTCTCGTCATCCATCCTGAATTCTGGGCCATCTTGTCAAGAAGGATTTTACACTCTGTGAATGTTTTGCTCAGGAATGCACCCCCAGCTGAAGCATCTACATTGGCCTTTAAATTGTCTGCTAATCCCATGTAGAATCTCTGGCCGAGCATCTGGTCTGGAATACCATGGTGAGGACACTTCACTAGAATCCCTTTGAATCTTTCCCAAGTTTCCTGCAAGGTCTCAGTGGGCTGCTGCTTGAACTGCAATATCTCATCAATCTGTCTTGCAGTCTTGTTGGGTGGCTAAAACTTGTTCAGGAACTGCTTGACTAATTCCTCCCAAGTGGCAATGGAATTTATTGAGAGCGAGTTTAGCCAAGTCTGAGCTTCCCCAGTCACAGAGAACGGGAACAGTAACAACTTGATGGCTTCTGGGGTCACATTTGGCTGCCTTTGGGTCACACAAATTGACAGAAAATTTTTCAGGTGTTGTTGAGGGTCTTCAATGTGTGACCCGGAGAACAATCCCTTATTCTGCAAAAGATGCAACATGTTGTTGGTGATCTGGAATGTCTCCGCTTGTATTTGGGGCACAGCAATGGCTGTGGCCAGGTTGTCAGTTGTTGGTTGTGCCCAATCATAAAGTGTAGCTTCTGGCACAAAAGGTGTCACCACTGCGTCGTTTGGCACATTGATGTTTTCCCTGTAGTTGTTGTCCATTTCAGTTATGAGTTGGCGTGTTTGTTGTGGTTGTTTGTTCTTCTTGTTGGCACGGTTTAATGCCCTGAATGTTTTCTCGGGGTCTGAGAGTCCTTCAAGCAGTTCACCAGTCCTCGAAGATTTTCTAGGCATACACCTGAATCACACAAGAGTTCAAACGTGAGAATTTCAATGAAAAATTATTTAACACCGTAGAAAATTGATCTAAACTAATAATTCTAACACTACTTCTAAGTTGCAATAAATAACACCGTTAGTTCCCCGGAAACGACGTCAAAATTTGATCACGCCCAGCTATGCCTCATAAAAGATAAGCGGTCATTGCAAATATAATCCGGTTTTTTTCAAGTCCGGAGTCGAATCCTCAGGGAACTAACCTATCTATTACAACTCTTAGTAATGCTAGTACAAGTTCAAACAATTTCCAGATGCAAGATTTTTATCAATAAACAGGGAGATTTGTTTAACTAATGTAAAAGGATAATTAAAACTAACAATATTCTAAGTTAAAGATAATTCGATGGTAAAAAGATCTAGGGTATTGATTTCCCCAATTGCTAGCTTATTCTTAACTCTTTTGCTATAATCTCGCCGTGATACTCTATGAGGATTATGAGCTATGGGTTACCGCAATTATCTCTCGATCAACTACGATAATTTACTAGAGCATTCTCTCGAACTACTCTAGCTGATAATTTATGCAGCTCTGAATTATCCCACCAAAGTTTCATTATCTCTAACCTCACTTTTAAATTCAAGTAATGAATCTCTTCAATTACCCAAAGGTGGTGTTGTTCAACAACAATCCAACCTAGTACTCTTTCTCAAGCAACACAAGGCAATTAGACACGATTAATCGAGGGCCCATTCAATTAATCACCATACAAAATATAGTTGAACAATTATATAATAAACCTGGCTCGATTATAACAAAATTGAGTCAAAACTTCATCTAACAATTGGTTCCATCAACCCTAGATTAAATGTTTAGCTACTCATGGGAAAAGAAGATAAAAACATAAAATAATTCATAGTTCACAAAATAATGATAACAAGAAGAAGAATGAAAAACTCTAATGGTGTCTTGATCTTCTCACACTTGTTCCTGCCTCTAATTTAGTCTAAAAACAAGCTTAACCTTGACTTGGACGAGTTTGTTGAGTTTATATAGGGTTAGGATAAGTTTTCCACGTTTTACACTTTAGCCCTTAAACTTCTTGGCTTTCTCCAGATCGACCGCGGTCGCGGGACAACCGCGGCGCGACCGCGGTGATTTATAACCATTCTGTTTTCTGCTTTCTTCCACCGCATTCCAGCCGCGGTCCGACTGCGGTCGCGGTGGACTGTTGTCCAGTTTTTCTTCACCTTTTCTTGCTCGTTTTCATCCGGGCTCTTCTCGATTGGCCTTGTATCTTTATTTTTGACCCCAAAACACTCTATATCTTCCTCCTAACTCTGAGTAGCTCCTGCAAAGCATAGAAACCTCAATTAGAGTATTTTGTTATCATTTAGCACTTAAATCATCAATAAGGCATGGTTAATTTAGAGCATAAATAGCATCTACATCGCATAATATAGGCTACTATCATAGAGCATTTGCTCATTATATTATTATTCTGTTTAAATCATATGGTATTGGGCTGTTGTTGTATCTTTTTAAATCATATGGTATTGGTTCTTAAGCCGAAGTCCTTAACTAGTGTAGGCGCTAACTAGACACTTTAATAGTAGACTAGTGCTTGTATTGTATCGTTTGGTACGCGGACTAAACGAGATTATAATTCCTAGACTAATTTATTCCGCCTGGGAGGTGGGATAAAATAATACCAAGTTTGATGGGATAAAGTGGGATAAGATGGGATATCAAGGATTAAGTCTTGGACTAAGTTTATACCATGTTCGGTTGACGGTATAATTTTATCCCGGAATAAATTTATACCATCAATCGAACATGATATAAATTTAGTACCATACTTTATCTCATCTTATCCCACCTTCTCTCGCGTACCAAACGACCCCTATGTATTTTCTCTTGATTCCACTCCTTTAATTTCAATTTTTTTTAATAAAAAAATTTAAAACTCGGTGAATAATGGATCTGACCTCTCTACCTTCTTGGCTACTTAAATACCGCACCTAATTCCCTTGCTGAACTGGAACTCTTTACGTGCACCTATCGCACATCACATGTTATACTATCTTTATGCTCATATTTTTGGTTCTTTTTCGTTTGAAGGCCAATGTATGGGTTGAGTTATAAGAAGATGCAAAGGTGTGAAAACAGAGGAAACTTGGGAAAGCAATACCACAAAATTATTTTTTTGTCAACATTAGCTGCTACCATTAATAAGCATAATCAAAATGAACTTTTGATGACAATGACTTCACCTTGTTCTTAACTCACGTTTGTATAAACTTCTATAATATCCAGCTGTTAATCCTCACAAAGCGACAATAGTGAGTTATTACTAGGTATCAGTTTAAGATATCAAATCAAATGGGTTTTGGCAGCATTGAATAGAAGCTTTTCTTCCATACAAGAAACCTCTAAAACTCTAATTAAGCAAGCACGCAAGCAATTGGCCTGGGAAAAGTACCAAGTAAATTGTTTTTTTTTCCCTATTACATAGTTTCCTATTTATTATTCTATTTGCTTCAATTTATGTGACACTATTTTTTTATACTTGAAAAAAATTAACTTTAGACTTAACATTTTAATTTTAATAAAAAAATTATAGTCACACAAGTGCTACGACATATTTAAAGTTATAGGTGTCAAAAATCACTATTTCTTTCTTAAACTATGTTTCAATTCGAAATATGTCACATAAATTATAATAAAAAGAGCATTTAAAAATCAATATAAGTGTAGCTCGTTATTAACAATTTACAGTCAACATACTATTTTTTTTTTTTTTTTGGGGGGACAAAATTGAACTAATGTTAACGACCATTGAAGTGTTCCCACTAATGTGAAAACAAAAACAGGGAGTATTTTGCTTTGTTTTGTTTTTCGATATGGTCCCCATCAATTGGAGGAGAATTAGTTACTCCTACCCACTATTTACACTAAATAAATTATAGTAATATGTGTCTTTATATATATTGTTATCACTAATTACTGCTAATTAATACACATAAAGGACCAAATTGAATCTTATGCATGTACCTTTGCATTATCATAATAGGCTATCTTTGTGCCTTGAACATGTGGCCTCTTAGTCGTATGATGACAACTTTGTTGGCTCAAGAAGCAACTTAGTCATATGGCCTCTTATTGTTGTGCCAACTTTTTCCTAATTAATACAGGTAATTATCTTAATTCATCATTGATCCTAATCAATTAATATGGTTTAGTGAAAACATCCATTACACAAAAATTTAGCGAATGCACTACAACCAAAATTCCCAATAAATCCCCTTCTAAAGTTCTTAGTCTAAACCCCAAAGCTTGAGGAAATGTCGTCCAATTCCCTAAAGTATCACAAATTCCAAAAGGGACCCATCTAAAACAGCAATACAACACCAAGATATGACAAAGAAATGAGTCGATCAACGTCAAGAATTGGAAGGAAGTCATTAATGATGGCAACTACTCTACTCGTCCAATCACTTGTTTTCTTTTGAGAAAAATATAAAACTACACTTTGTTACTCCGTATTTTGGATGGACGGGGTTTGTCACAATGTCATTGGCCTGTTGAAGCCCAATTTTTGGGTGTCGCCTTTATGCTGCCTCCACGATAAGGTACTTATTATAATCCCTACTGGAATACAAAAACGTTGCTTTTTTTCTCTATTCCCAAAAAAAAAAAAACTCACATGAACCAAGAGTCTTCAATTAAACTGAAAAATATAAATTTCCTAACCACGATTAAATGCTACATAGTAAAGTTTAGTTATATAGAAGACGGTACGTTTTGATATCCTAAGACCAGGATCTTCCTCAAATAACCTCTCTACCTTCTTTAAGGTAGGGATAAAGCAGTATACCCAAATACCTGGTGTATGGAAATGAGTATGACTAAGAGACGACAGTATGAACTATGTCAAGTTGTGTATTACAGAAGAGAAAAAAAAGAAAGGAACAAAATCTTTATATTATATCTCTAGAGTACAAAGTATAAAATACAAAATAAGTTGCCACAGCATGAAATTTCCAATCCAGCTGAAATTAGTTCTTTTTAGTGGTAGTAGCTAGATGCTGGAAACAACTGAGACACCTAGAAATCTACTGCCTTAATTATCAATACAATAGTCCCAACCCCATTTCTACAGAACTTCACAAAGCAAGCTCAAAACAAGCTGAAGCTTCTTTGAATTACTCAAATACCAATTCTTAGGCACCAGATTGGCTGACTTCACTGCTTTTACATGTAGAAGACCATAGAACTGATCCTCAGATGGAGAATTACAACCCAACGACGTACGAGTAAGGGTGAGATGTATCTACTTAATCATCTAATATACACGATATACTATATATTACTGAAGAGGAAAAACCTGAGTGGAAGGTCAAGATTCTGTTATGTATAAGCTGGCTATAATTGAAGTTAAGTGAATCTATGAACAGTTAGGACTTAGGATGGATGAAGCTGGTTATCTCCTTCATTAGGCAGCGAAAATGGTCGTTATTAGGCAAGAAGTAGAAACCAATCGTTGCTAGCTTTAGGTATAGTAGATTCACCTCATGCCCTGATTTCTGCAAACCTTTAACATAAGCCAATTGCCAATCTTGAACAAGATCCAAACCAGCTACCACAACTAGGCTCTTTGGAAACTTAACTCCTTCTAGGTTTTTACCTCTAGGTCCAAATATATTACACGCCGGATGGTCCCTATCTTCCCCTTGTGGTAAATATGCTCTCCAATACCAATCCCTATCTTGAATTGTTACAAAAAATTTACCATCCAATCTCTTCTCAGATTCAGTCCTTTTTTGCCCACCAAACATGGGATGAAGGAGAATATTACCTAATACTTCGACCCCGTTTTCAGCAGCCCTTACAGCAACATGATGAGCAATGTTACCACCAGAACTATCACCAGCCAAGTATGCATGAACTTCTGAATCTTTCCCGCTTCGAAGCCATGGCCTTGACTTTACCCATTTAAGAGCACTCCATCCATCATCATATGCACAAGGGTATCGATGCTCAGGTGATCGTCTATAGTTCACAGATACAACAACAGCCTTACAAATGCTAACAAGGCGACGACAGAATGTATCATAAATAGCACTATTAGCTGAGGAATGAGTAAAACTTCCACCATGAAAAAATACAATAACAGGAACAATTTCTGTGGTACTCAAAGGTTTCTCAAGTTCTACTTTACCCCATTCATCCTCATTGTCTGGAGCAGGTCTACAGACGCGGTTAAGTAAGCTTGTCGCCCGATCAACAACATCAAAAGAGTAAACCCCATCAACTGGAAATGAGTTAGCAGGGACCTTTCGCTCCAAGAACTCAGCCAAATCGCGATTGAACGTGCCATCTGACCGCCGTAACATGTTGTAAGCCAGTTTGAAATTGGAAATGAGGATCCATGTATTAAGTGGAACCAATCTCTGTCAAAAGGGACATAGTACCTAGTCATTATAGAACATCTAAATTGATGCAAGAAACAAATTGATCATATCAAATGTATCTTTATCCACAACTAGGAATTACAAAAGAAAGCATCAGACTTTCTTCTTCTTTCTTTTTTGAAAGGGTAAAAAGCATTATAGTTTTTCTCTTTTTTTGCATAACCAGAAAAAGGAAATGATGGCAAAATAAGAGAAATTTAAACCCCAAATGGCAATAGGAAAGAAAGGTAATTTCAAAAAGGGTGTCGAATTGGTAAAAGGATATGCCAAACAAACATAAGAATGACAGAGCAAATACATTAGCAAAGCTCATATCAGCAAAATCAACGATAAAGATTCTTGCTTTTGCCCCAAAAACGTTCGGTTCTCAAAAAACTGAACTTTTCTCAGAAAACTGAGGCCTAAGCTCTTTATTATTAAAAAAAAAAAAATCCTTGATTATATATGAAATGATCCTTTAATTAAGGAAACTAACGAAACTGATAACAGCAAAGCAAGAAATGGTAGAAATTAGATATACTAAAGAATAACAAGTTGAATTAAAGAAAATACCTTAGATTCAGCAGCGTTAACTTCATTATCACCTGCCATGACTATTACACAAGAATCAATCTTTAGAAATGGGCACTAATCTTCAAAAAGATCAGCTTTTAGCGCTCATAATGAAAAAGAGACTTTGATTTCTCGTTTTGAGTTTCAAACAACAGAGAGTGAAAGAGGAATAGAAAGGGGAAATATAAAGACAGTTTAATAAGAACAGAGAAAAAAAGGGTAAGAAGTAAGGAGAGGAGAGAGAGAGAGAGATGGGCATGGAGTCAAAAAGCAAAGGCCAAAGGGGCAATAGACGACAAAGCAGGCGCCAAAATATACACTGCGTAATATGACCCACCATTAATTTACTCACATTTGTAAATAAAAAATCTTCTCTACTATCTCGGTTTAACCGCGTGTATGGATCGCATCGTTACTTTAAATATAATATTTATTTTAATTATAATTTTAATTTTATTATATTGTATCGTTAAATTTATTATTATATAACGACGAAAAATGTTACATTACGAAACGATAGATTTAGTATGGTGGCGAAGTTTCTTTGCTTTTTTTCCTCTCGTCATGTCCTTCTCTATTATTAAATAATCATATTTTATTCTTTATCCTACTTTTATATATAACAATTCTACTTCGTATCCTAATTTTTTAGTAATGTTATAAGTTTATTCTTCGTATTGTTAGTGCGTGACATCATGAAACTGTATTGGTCAAAATCTGACCTCTGCGGTCGGCCTAACCAAGATCCCGTCCAAGCAACGAGACAGTGGAAGAAGACATGGTTTGCTCCAAACCCCGTACTCACAATACTAGCCATGACAAAGAACGATACTCAGGGAACGATGAAAGCGGACGTGGTGTGAAACTGTATTGACCCAAGGATTCTCAAACTATATATAGGGAGGGAATCTTCCATTGAAGGGGGGCTTTTTCTCTCTCTTCCCACTCCTCGGTAATCTTCTTAGCAAAAAGGAAAACAAAGCAATCTTCCACGGAGGATATAAAACAGTCATCTCCATCGATTAACGAAAGGAGAAATGAAAAACATCAATAAGATTGATCGCCCCTATTTCATCTTATGCATTATTTTCCGATTTGTTTATGGATCTGGAGGTTATTATGTTTGACTAAGATTTACCTCTTCATCCTCTCTAATTGATTTAATCAAAAAGGTTTCGATAACTTTTGGTGAAACAGAAACGACGGCAAACGATACATTCTATCCAAATATTGTATTCATTAAATAATACAGTACAATACGATACATTATGAAACAACACGTAGAAACAATCCAAACAAGTTGTAAGAAATAAGGAGAGAAGAAAAGAACAGATGAGTTTTTTTTTTTCATTTTCTTTTTAGTAACAGGGAAGAGCGAATATTCAACTGCAATACCATATAGTATCAACTTGTTAAGATTGAAGTTTAATCAGTTTTGTACACTGCATCGGATTTGGAATGTACCAGCAATTATCTGTACTTATGGCCTTTGAATAAAGATTTTGTTCCCTGTTTCAATTCATCTCATTATACAAAATAAAAATAAAAATAACAAAATTTCTCTATATTGTGATATTGTCTAATGTATAAAATATCTACTAGGGACTCTTAAAAAATGCAGGACCTACATCAAACATATTAAAGTAAGTAATATATATTCCAAACTATTGGAATCGCGTGCGGTAAATCCTTTCCTTCCATTTAGTCTATCTTTTGTTAAGTATGTAATGATTTCCAAGAGATTGTGATGTTGCTACTTGGAAATAATTCATTTCATGTGATTTAATATCTAGTACATCCTATTTTAACTCTTTTAGTTACCATGATTTCACACCTACAAATTGGAGCATATGTACATCAAGGCAAGCTATTAAATTATCTCAAATGATTAGGGTTGGCAAGCGGTGCGGTGCGGGTGCGGGCAAACCCGCATAAATCTGCAAAGATCTCAACCCGCCCCCCGCCCACGCCCCGCATAGCATTTTCACCCGCATCCACTCGCCTCCGCACAGACCCGCGTCCACCCGCCCCGCACCGCATAAGTTTTTTTTTTCATTTTGTTTGCTTATTTCCTTTTTATATTTTAGCTGAAATTCAATTTAATCAATCAAAAATTTGAAAGTTTTTTGTTTCTTAAGTGCTGAATCTCAATTAAAAAAAAAAAAGAAGCAAATATTTGCTACTCATTGTAAAAAATGCTAATGATCCCTTAGTGTATTAATTTAGTATTTATTGTAAAATAATATTCACAGTTACCGCAATACTATTTCTAATAAACCCTAATGAATGTCTTTACATCACAATTTAGTTTCACAAAAATAGATTGTTATATGTCTTAGTTTTTATGAAAATATTCTTTTCAGATTATGAAAATATTCTAAGTAGTATTAATGTATTATCTTTGACGAACTATATCATAAAATTATTATTAATATAATAAGCAAATTGTTTATGTTTTCTTTTTTCAAAATGGATTAGCAATTTATTGAGAAACAAGTTTTATGGGTCATATGGTGATCACGGGAGAAGGAAAATCCTTACACCCGCAACCCGTCCCGCATCAGTATTTTATGAAAAGTACTTCAACCCGCCTCGCCTCGCCCCACTTAAGTTTAAACTTGCACTGTCCCGCATAGCCTTATACCTGCACCGCCCCGCATAGCCTTAAACTCGCACCGCCTCATTTGCCATCCCTACAAACGAGTTACGACCTTCTCTTATTAGCACCTGCAACACTCATCTCTTGAATGCATGTGTTGTAATTAAACAATTTACAATTTAGTATTTGCTACTTAGTATATAACATTGTTGGTCTTATATAATACTTCTTCATTCCAGTTTATACAACTCTATCTTTTTCGTTCTATAACCATAAAAATTGTCAAGTATATTTAAAATCACAAGCTTCTAAATTATAAGAAAAAAATAGTAAATTCGTATGCAATCGAACACCTACTCTTCAAATGAAACAAAATGTATAAAATAAAACAGCAATATAAATTAATACAATACTACTATACGTTTCATCAAAACGTGCTGTAACTCTAGCTTTTCTTGCGTGCTGCCGACGCCATGGTACGTGGCGACAATATATTATCACTCTTCTCTCGCCAGGTAAGTCAATTGACAAAATTACCCTAACTATCTTAATCAAACTACATCCACTACCTCGGAGTATGACACGTAATTTGTCATTTAGCGCACAGCCGCGTGACGGCATGTCTTCGTCAGATTCTATGAAGAAAAAAGAGAGAGAGAAGATTTGGATTTTGTCGTCCTTTCGCCTATGCATTTAATCTACACCTTTTATTCATTAAGCAACCGACACGTGTTTATTGGGGCCCACCACGGGGCAAAGCAGGTACTATGAAGGTGGGGTCTGGAAACTTTTTAAGTGGGACCAATTGGATAGGGCCTGCCCGTTTCCGACACGTGTTTCCTGGAGTAAGGGTAAATATTTTCTTTGCAAGTTGATTGATTAGATTTTTCTTTGGACAGCAGAAGAAACCAGATGATGAGATAGGACCATTTTTTTAAAATTTCTTGATTTTATTTATTGGATAATTGAAAGACAACAAAAAAATTAAAGAGGAGGAATATGAGTCCAAAGAAACAAAGGAAGATTTGAATAGCCAAGAATAACAATAAATCGAGCGTAATTTTATAAGTAGTGTCTGTGATGGATAAGATATATGCAAACCTTGTCTCTACTTTACAAGAGTATAGAACTTGTTTTCGATAGAAGGTCGATTCAAAGAAAGAAAGATGGAAAGCAGAGGCGAAGCTAAGATTTTTCGTTTATGAGTTCTGAACCATAATTTTTTTTACATACTGGGTTCTAAATAAATTATTTATACATATTTAATAGTAAATTTTATAACATAAATACAGGGTTTGAACCAAAACAATTGGATTCAGTGGCAGAGCCACGTTATATGAAGGGGTGTCAAATGACACCCCTTCGCAGCAAAAATACACTGTGTAGGTAGGTAAAAAAAAATTATATGTATTTGACCAAAATGTGTTGAGCCTTTTAGTTAAACTAATTAATGAGGAAATGAAGGATGAATCTTAGTTAAAAGTAATAAATTCTAGATCAAATATTGTAGGAAATCGGTAAGATGAACAACGTTGACAGCGTTAAATAGCACATTTGTATTCGATGGATGCTAATAAATATGATAACATAAATATGCAATAAATGTAGATAATGGCAATAAATGTAATAAGAAAGAATCTACCACCCAATTATTATATGATTTGGATGGTTCTTTCCTCTGACAGCAACGTGGAAAGAAGAGAAGTGAAGATGGTTATGGAATCTTTAAATCTTGTGAACAAAGATCAAATAACGTGCGCTTGAATAAGATAATCAATGAACAAGACAACTTTTGTATATTCTCTCAAGTCAACCTTTTACAATGTGTTTTTATCAGAAAGTGATGATCCCCCCATGATTCATCTCTTCCTATTTGTAAGGGGTATTTCCAAGAAACCCTAAAAAGTACAAAATAAGGAATATCCAAAGGAACATTCCTTGTATTCACTTCCAAATCTATCCTACCGTTATTTCTTTACCCCGGTTGCCCGTCCTCGACTACAATCCTCTTGAAGACGGCTTTCCGTTATTACGCCATGGTCGACCCTGTCCTCGATCCTGTTTATCTGCCATTACCAAGTCGTCAAATTTAGACAAATACAGTTAGTCCCTCCGCTTGTTGAGGTCGTAGTCTTGCACGCCCTCGATAAGCAGACCCGGTTTGCGTCCGTCAAGAGGAAATTTGGTCGTGTTGAACGAGTCGAATCGGCCGAGATCGAGAAAACGGCGTGGACAGCGGGGTTGTGGTTGGTGTGGCTAACGTGAGGTGACGTCATGGCCACGCGCGTCATCATTACGCGTCTTCCCGATGCAACGTCTGTGCATCTACCGCTTCGATTTTGGCCGTTGACGGTCCTTTGCTCCGATTCTCACGCCACCCAACCCTATAAATAGGTGGAGGGTTTCATTTTTCGGAAATTTTCGCCATTTCTCATTTTGCATAAGTACTGTTCTTCTCTGACCTTCTTCTCCAATTTCCGTTTTCGATTTCTTGCAGCTTCTTTCTTATCCTTTCTTTCTTACCCAGTTGTTATCTCCTTCTTCAGACTTTGTTACACACATTCATTACAGAAATATGTCGCAATCCCTTTACATTCACGATGAGGTCTCCAATGCCACTCCATTATCGGTGGCCCTTCCTCTAAGGGGTGAGGAATTTATGACTGAAGAGGACGACAACTT